GGGAAACTCTCCACGTGGAGCCACGGACTCCCGTACGGGAGATTCACCACTCTAGAGCGACAGTGCGCGCATGTGTTTTCATTACTCAGCTCCCAAATGGCAAGCACGGGAACGTCACCATTTCGGGTCAACATCGCGCAACGGGAACGTCACCATTTTGGGCCAACAACGCGCGATCGGGAACGTCACCATTTCGGGCCGACACTAAAATGGTCCAATTCCCGTTCGTGTAATATGGTGACATTCCCGTCCGTATATCGGCCCCAAAACACGCGCGCGCACGGTCAGCCCTGAGTGGTGAAGTTCCCGTACGGGACTTAGTCTTTCTATAGGTGGAGAGATTCCCGTATTGTGGGAAATTCTCAACCTCCGTGGCAGCCCTGAGTGGTGAAGTTCCCGTGCGGGACTCGGCACTGCTAGGTGGAGAGATTCCCGTAAGCGGGAATCTCTCCCCCTCCGTGGCACAGTTCCCGCACGGGAAACTCTCCTTTTCCCGTGACCCAGCTTAGCTCACTTAACACGACTTTCCTCACTTCATACGGTAAAAATGAGTATTGTATTGTCCCCGTTGTTGCTGACGGCATTAACATGAGTTGAAAAAAAAGTGAGTTTGCCGTCACAACGTCTTGTGATTACATGTTGCAAGGACATTATAATGTCCTTGCATGTTGGAATATTAAAAAGAAAACTGTTAACGTTGACATACCAGAATTGTGGTCCCCTTGGTGTCCAGACGAGTGACATGAGGCATCGCGGCATCAGCAGCGAGCAGATGAACGGCCGGAGGTGGGGGTGACAGGACGAGTTGATGTTCTCCATCTGCGCCCACTCTGGTGAGTCCAACGTCTCGTTGATGCTTTGACCGAACATGTTTGTCGGTGTTGTTCTGTGGTAGCCGAGATCTTTACAGTAGTTGTAGAACTCGTCGGGAACGTCCAAACACTCGTCGGGAACGTCCAAATTATTTCCCAAACCTATCAAGTAACAATTGTAATCATTATGTGAACCAGTCAGAATTGCCCGAGAAGAGTGACAGATGGTTAGCAGAACGTTGGCTGAATAAGAGCCCTTTTCTTCAGAGACTCGATGAAACTATTCACGGTTTTGAAACTTTATTTTCAATTCAAACAAACATAGCAGACAAAAGTCTGAATTGCGTTAGTATTTACACACCATTGAGCTCTTTTTATATTATAATACACAAACTGTGGGTATTTACAGTATTAAAAGTAAATTCTTAATTTCTATACTAGTAGTAAAACAAATTGGCATCTCTTAAAGATTAAAACTTAATTACCTACTAAAAACTCGTAGTTTAACATAGAATGATAACAAGATAGGTGCAGGGTAAACTTCAGATATAAAGATTCGAAATTCAGAAAGTTTGTTTACAGTTCAGAGTTCACTGATCATTGTTGAGAAGGTTTACAAGGTTGGGAGAGTTTTTCAGTCTGTTGGTCCGACAGAGAGGTGTGTTCAGTTTCTGCTTGTTTTGAGTCTGTCGACCAGATATTTCCCCCCTCGACCTCGGGAGCCAGTCTCTGAATGTAGACTCCAGGTTTGCAAATGTGTTACAAGGCCTCTTGATTGATTGATTGATTGATTGATTGATTGATTGATTGATAAAAGATGAAGAAACTCAAACTGCAAGGCAAAGCTTACCTCCTCCTAGAAATCTCTTTGTACCAAATGTTGCGTTGAATCCAGACCGATGGATGCTAGCATCGGACACGAACACTACCGACATCACGCTCGTGTCGGATTCGATACTTCCTGGAAGCTCCTGTCCACAAAACTTTCCTGGAAAAACGAAGCAGTTTGTGATCTTTTTGGCATTGTGGAAATGTTCTGTCCGTCTCATGATAATGTTATGTAATTAGCTAATTAAACCCTCAAGTGGGGCCTCTGCTGATTGGAGGGCACCAGTCAGGCTTGGCCAATCAGCGTGCCAGTCAAAATTCTGATCAAATATTCATATGCAGAAGAATAAAAGTGGCCTAGAGAGCGTATAAAAGCTAAAAGGGTGTACATTGTACATTGATATGCAAATTCATCCTTTCACTTATTATTTATTTGATTTCTGTATGATTGATTTGATATTATTTGATGTATGCCTATTTTGGACCGCTTATTCTTCTGTTACTTAAGTTTATGCTTAAATTATATTATTTGAATTTGTCCCTTGATTCTACATACGTTTCTTCCGCGATTACTTTATGTTGTATTGTTATTATTTTATTGTGTTTGGGAACTGCCCCCCCCAGGGTACATTGAAAACCGCCCTCCAGGGCAATATGTTTTTCTGGTTAAATAAACAAATAAAATAAATAAATAAATAAATAAAGGGAGGCTTCAAAATTTAGGGAAGTGAAAAGTGGACTTACCGATAGGAGTGTCCAGGCCTGTTGTTTTATCACGGCTGTAGACCGCCAGGTAGTCAAAGTTACAGTCAGGGTTGATCAGTGACTTCTCCAGGTTAAAGTCGTGGAAGGTCAGCTGTATGACCCTGGTCCTGTCGGTTTCTATCAGCCAACGGATGCTTGAGTCGTCTGCAAGGAAACGTTAATAGGAAAGTTTAAGACTGGCAGAAAACATAAAAGCAATAATGATACATATAATCATGAAAGTTCATCTGTGTTGGTAGTTACATGTCTGAAGTTAAAACTTTTGACCACACAAAAATTCTCTCACCTAGAGCTTTCGACCAGTCACTCTGGTCTTCCTCAGTAGACTGACCCAGTGAAACTTGCGTGGCTTCTTTGAAGTGTGACGTCAACACTGGGTCAAAGGTATATATTTTGGACACTGAACAAGACTATTTCTTGAGAGGGGTGAAGGAAGCCATGTAAATCAGGGTCCATCACCCTTCTTTGAACCGCGACGGGGGCCGACATCGTCTACCAGATACCTTTGACCCAGTGTTGACGTCACACTTCAAAGAAGCAACGTGACACGCTTCACATGCTACTGAGGAAGACCAAAGAAAGCTCTAGGTGAGAGAATTTTTTTTGTGTTGGACCAAAAGTTTTAACTTTAAACAATGATACATATAGTTGCTATATGGTCGATAGACGACAGATGTTTGGTAATCTTCTAATGCATGTGTCGATCGGGAAATGTAATGGATATCGCTCTCAGGTGCCAATGCAAATTGAAAAATGTGAACTGATAGATGATATCAACTCCCGGAAGTAACGTCTAACGGCTCCACCACTTTGGTGTTGCCAAAACACATGACAGAGACCTTATGAACGAATGAACTTTGAACGAAATGAACTCTGAACAAAAAAAAGTTTTCAACCACACTGTAAATCGTACAAAACAGTTGGAAAATCAGCAAATATACCGTTAGTTGCAAAAAAATGTTAAGACAACACTAATGTCATAGAATGCCAAAATCAAATAAAAACAAGAATTCTGAGATTTCATACCTCCATGAAATATGTAGAGTTTATATAAATGTTTTATTATTATAAAACATTTATATGTATATACATATTATTATAATGACTTATTGGCTTTTAAACATTTCGCCCGAAAGTCCCCTGCAGTTCCAGAAAAAGCTGGTAGGGGGACCGAACCCACACCACTTATTTCTGACAGAAAAAGCTATCTGTCACCAAAAAGTCAAGACCAGATACAAAAGACACAAAAGATACAAAAACCGGAAGTTCTGCTGCAGTACCAAGGTCATCCACCAGAAGGCCCATATTTGACCTTGACCTTCGTCTTCCTAAGACTTACCAACATACCAAATATCATCACACAGACAGACACACAGACACGAAAAAAACAATACCTCCATTTTTCATGGAGGTAAAGACGGAAATGTAAAGAAATGAATTTGAAGAGTAGATTATTCGCCATACCATACTCTGCGCCATTTGTTCACCCTTCTTGTCCACGTCAGATTTCATAATGAAAGCAACTTTTTTTGGCAAAATTTTTTTTTATTCGCACGCTCGCATCAATTTTGGGGTTCGCAAAGGATGCCATACATATATAATCAAATCAACATAGCCTAAGCCAATCGATGGTGTCTACCTGGATAGTCGTCCGGAAAACCCGGGCTGTTGAAGGTCCCAGTGCCGGCTTGCAGGGTGATCTCGGTCTGTACGGGCTCCGGAAGCTGTGGAAGAGGCGGCGGCACTGGTGGCCCGCTGAACTGACCGCAGGCAAATGCGAAGAGAGCGAGTAGAGTAGCGATGGCGAGATGCCAAACGCATCGACCCATGCTGACTTGTTTTCTGTGAGGTAAATAATGCACGTTTAGTTATATCATAGCGAATGTACAACAGAAGGCAGGGAAATTCAAAGCTATGTCATTTATTGTTCATTGTTAGTTGATGCTATCAGATAATTCAAAATCATCATTCTTATATAATTAGCTGATTCCCAAGTTCCTACGAAAGTAGTGTAAACAGAAGGGAATGAGCCACCGTAAGGGTAAAATTTCCCATCAAACTTATGATGGCTAAACTCCTCTGGCAAACAATCCTTCCTATATGACTAGATTTTGCTATTTTTTAGCCCCGTTGTTCGTCCTGTGAAAAAAAACACCCTAAGGATTAAATTTTCTTCCAGAAAAATGAATTACCGGTGGCCAAACTCGCCTGCCAATTCGCTCCTATCTGGCTAAATTTTACTATTTTTCCAGCCCAAGTTGTTAGTCGGGTGGGAGATTGCATACCTCTCGTTGAGAACCAAAAAGACTAAAATAGCAAAAAGATCACAGACAAACAAAACGCCGAAGAGGTCCTATCCAGTTTCTCCGTCAAATAGTACATGCACCACCTACTCCTCGGTAAAAGAACACCTTATGTCTGACTAAAATCTTCAAGGGTTGATGACAGTACACTGAGTAGTCTAGTACGCAAACAGGAGGATTTTTTATATTCCAACACGTAATCACAAGACGTGGTGACGGCACACTCGGTTTTTTTCAACTTATATTAATGCCGACACCAACACGGGACAGACAATACTCATTTTCACCCGAGGAAAGTCGTGTGCCTTTCCCAAGGGCACACGATCGGTGGCATGTCAGGACTCGAACCCGGGGCCACTTTGTTCCGAGTCGAGCATTCTGCCGTTACGCCACACGACCCCACTAAACATGAGGATTGTGTTGTGACGACATGGGGATGCTTATTCAAGTGAGCAGAAGTAAGTCCCACGAGCCTTGAAAGCTGACCGAAAACAACCACCTGTCGGTGACAGTAGACAGGACAGTGTCAGAATGTAATTAGAGACCGTTTTGTGTTAATTACAACCCGCAGACAGGCTGAGGTTCTCCAGTGCCCCGATCAGATGACTCAAACTGCAGGTGTGGCAGTGACAGACTCCAGAAAAGGACACAGGGAGAAAGTGGTTGATTTTTCACTTGGAATATGATGTAACGTTAGGCCACACCAATTTGTTGCTTTTCGGATCGCCCTGTCCGTTTTTTCTGATTTGCAAAAAGGAAAAAAAGATTTGGTTCTAAATTAACTGCAGAATGCTCAATGAAAGACATATTTTCAGCCCAACGGTTGAAGAAAGTCCTTTTCTTCCTAGTTCTTAAGTTTTCCAATGTAACAATGCAATTTTGTTTTATTAAAAGTTCAAAATGTATTGTTTTATTATAAACCAGCCTGGTATGTTCACTTCATGGCTCATATTCTAACATTTCTGGCTATCATGGAGTGCCTTGGCTTGTTTTTTTTCGTTGTTTTATTTTTTCAGAAAAAATCCGAGAAACAACAAATAATATTGGTGTGGCCTTACTATATTTTAGAAGGTACAATTCAGAAGACGACAATGATATTTTTCACACTTGGATGGGGAGGGGGGTAAATGATACCGGTGTGAACGATCCTTACAATACTCAAGGTTACGCCATGTTGATTTGATTATATGGATGACATTCTCTGGGAACCCAAAAACTGACGCGAGCGTGGGAAGAAAAAAAAAGTTTTGCAAAAATGTTTCCTTCATTATGAAATCTACGTGGTCAGAAAGGTTGAACAAATGGTTGAACAAACACACAGGGTATGGTGTGGCAAATTGGTGAACGGACTAGTCCCCCCTCACCTCCAGCCACTAACTCCCACCACACGAGGAGACCAAAGGGTCACACGTGTTCAGCTGCGGAACGCAACGCACCTCCACTTACCTCGGTGCCGTACACAGACGTACAAGGCCAGTTTTCTGCCTTATGCGTCACGGCTGTGGAATCAGCTGCCCCAGTCTGTTAGAGAGGCCCGCAGCATCACTATATTTAAGAACATGTGTCGGGCCCACCTGCTCACACAACAGAAGCACCAGTTGACCTGGAGACGTGGCCCCAGATATGAGAACATTCTGGCGGCTAGAAACCGCATGAACTGTATCTAGTGCTAAATGGACTGATATACTAGTATTCTAATCTATGCTGTTTTAGTACCCTTATACTTATTTTATATACTTATACTAGGTTTAAATGTGTGTCTTGTTTGTGTGCTTGTGATTGTTTTGTGTGTGGGCCACAACACCAGCCCCCGCTGCCTGTGGCCCACGAGTATTGTACTTGCTGCAATCTTAATAAATCAAATCAAATCAAATCAAATGATAATAGACTCTTCATTTTCATTTCTTCCCATTTTCTTCTATTCCTGAATTGATTTCGGCATTATTTCATATTAGTATCGTTTTCCAATACTTTTTTTGCAACATACGACATATATGCGCTCATTTTGTACGATATACAGTATGGTGGAAAACTTCTTTTTTTTTGGAAACGGACGAAAATTCATGTGCGCGTGGATGTCATCCATATAATCAAATCAGTATGGCAAAATGGCACCATGGGTTATTGCAAATGACCGCAAGTGACCCCAAATGGAATACGTGTTCGGTTGGAATTACCTAGATGGAGCATGGTCGAACATTCGTGCTCTAAAAAAAAAAGGGAATTCGGTGCCCAAAGTTGACCACCCTGGGTGAGCGATCGGTCAATGCCTAACTCTTATCGATCTGAGTGGTAAAAGCCTATAGTGCTATAGTGGAAAGGGGGTGTTACTGAAGACAGGTTTAAAAATGCATAGTTCTGCCCATGAAGCTAAACTGATAAAAGTGCATATGGAGAGGGCGGGGAAAAGGACCATCTATAACGTTAATTTCCATTTTAAAACTGAATAAGAAAAATATGGAGCATATTGCGAGAATTTTACGAACGCCTGCGTGGTTCCTACCGGAGATTTCCAACAAAAATAACGAATCCTGGGTCCTGGGTTCGAGTCCTGACATGCCACCGATCTTGTGCCCTTGGGAAAGGCACTTTACACGACTTTCCTCACTTCACTCAGGTGGAAATGAGTATTGTCCCCTTTGTTGGTGACGGCATGAATATAAGTTGAAAAAACTTGAGTGTGCCGTCACCAAGTCTTGTGATTACATGTTGAAATATAAAAAAATAACGAATTGTTCTCCCTCGTTCTTTTTTTTCTTTTTCTTTCTTTCTTTCTTTCTTTCTTTCTTTCTTTCTTTCTTTCTTTCTTTCTTTCTTTCTTTCCCTCTGCCTCTTTCTCCATCTCATTCTTGCTGTTTCTTTTCTCTCTTGGAAATTATTTGTCTTGGATATAGCGTTGAGTACACCCTGTGCAATGTCTGAGCAAAAACACACGGAAACGACAGTTCAAACATCCTTTCCAGCATACTTCAAAAGGACTTAGGGCAAGATAAGACTCGAATCACTTTTCGGGCGTTAATGGTTGTATGAACTATTTTGTAGGCAGTTTTTAGGAACCCTGGCAATGCTGTGGATCAGTGCATCTGTACCCGTATCTGTATAGCCGGTATTACTGCACGTGGCGCGGCGGCAGCTAGCTATATCACACCGAACGACTTGTTACACTCAATATTTTCACATTTAATTGCAAGAGTTGTTTCAAGCTTTCTAATGATGGTGCGCAAACTTTGCATGGTGGCAAAGAGTTACACTCTACGATAGGTCTTGTTTTGAACACCTCAATTCTTGGTCGATAAGAAGGCAATTGATTTGAAGGCATGGCTGCCTCTGGTTCTTTTCTTGGCTGGTATGAGATACTTAGTGGTTGGTACGTCCACCCGTTTATTAGTCATTTTGTACATCATGCACAGTCTGAACATTTTTCGTCTGTTTTCCAGCGACCCCCACTGTAGGTTTCTTTTGATTTCCGTTGGGCTAGCACCCCTTCCATAGTTGTTCGTGCAGAATTTTGCGGCTTTGTTCTGTACCCTTTCCAGTTTATCTTTGTCTTTCTTTGTATATGGGCCCTATACTGTTCCGGCACATTCTAGTTTTGGTCTTGCAAGCGACGTGTATGATAATCAGTGCATGATTGCAAACGTCATTGAAGACTTTTGTCATTAAATTTCTTTTTTATTTTATTTTACAAAATAGCGAGATTATACGTAGCGAAATTTCTGGATTTCAGAAAACAGCCCATGTCAGAGCGAAGGTTCTATAATAAGCTTTTGGGTGACAACATTCAGAAATTCAGAAAACAGATATCAACATCATCCAAATGAACCGATCCAAGTGTAATATTTGACGCTTGAAATACGATATTTCCTAGGCTTCCAATCGTCATAAAAATAAAAAAAGGTATGAAAAAGACGTGGCAACAAAACAACAAAAACACATAAGGACTTATGTGTTTCAATGCACTATCTGAATGATTTTTGATGAATGATGTACGTACCTTTTCGTCAGCAGATGACTGACCTTGCCGCAGAAGTCCAAAACAAATTTAAATGCACGCAGTTTTTTGGTTGACAACGGAACTCCAAAGATGTTCTCTAAAAGTTCATCAGCACGTGTTTTTTCGAGCCTCTCCCGGCCAAGAACCGAGCCTCAGGTTTGCATCCCGCCCGAGCCAGGTGCGGTCTGTGCCCGGGGAGAGTCTGGTAGAGGTTACGGTCCTCTGGGAGTGACGTTAAACGGTCGGCCCTGTGTTTGAGGAAAGCCACACCTCTGACAAGATAAAGAGCCGACTATAATTATCGCGATGTCTCAAACCATGGACCTCTTGCGTACCTTTTAGATGTTCTTTACGTAGCTGGTAACAACTCTTTACGTATCGAAAACAAATATATTGACTTTGTACTTGAGTTAGATTCTCCGTCCTCACGATACCGATACAGCTACATGCAGAACGCCTATCTAATGATCTAACGTTAACAGTATTTTTTTTTACAAAAGCTTGCAGGACTGGCCTAAACCGGTAATTTGGGACAAATGCACCGGAACAATCCATATTAGTGGGAATTAGTCAGAAGAATGACAATTTATCTCACACAGGTGGTATGCGTCAAACGTTAACAATCTGTTAAACATCTCAAAATGTTTGACGTTTGAAGCTATAATGACGTCTTCCCAATTAAGCGAAACAGACGCCATTATTATGGATGCAATTTGTATGTTTTAGAAACGTCATCAGGAGACAAGTGTCCGATTAATTGCCGTAATTACTAATTAATGTAATTACTGTAATTCCGAATTAATGCAATTACACGAGACAAGACCAGACACACGAGAAATGACGATACACCATCTTTATTTCACCCATTCAAACAAAAGATTTTTTCGCAAAAAGACCGGCATTACATAATCTTACTTTTCAACCAATACTTGCTACAACCTATCCTAAGGCCACAGCAAGTATCTTTTATGGATGACATCAGCGCGCGCATTAAGTTTAGCCTGATTTTGGAAAATAAAAAAGAAATTTTGTTGCCTTCTGACAGTGGTCAATATGCCGAAAATGGGCAAAGATGTCTGTTGCCATGCCGGAAGGAGGATGACAGATAACTATGAAGAGAGGAGACAAGAAAAGGGTATGATTTAATGTTTTGTTTCTTACTTTGATTCAGTGATATGTGATGGTGGCTGTGTATATGTGATGTTCCCACTGAATCGAAACCATTTGTACAACGATTGAGTCAAAATTGTAAAAGGTAGGAACCATTTTTTTCGGCCCGCCTTGTTTTTTTTGCCCGCTCGCATTAGATCTAGATTTGGAGTCTGCGGAGGATGTCATCCATAAAATTTACTTGCTGTGGCCTAATATATAACATAGCTGATTAGATGAAAGATGACATGGGTTACAATTTACCACAGTAAACAAAACTGTACTTGAGATATAACATTGGACTGTTCTAAAATGTTAAGAGCTTTTGTATATGTTACAACTTGTTATCAATATTACTCGTAGTATCTTTTCTACGTCTTCCACGCTATTCGACATGTTACCAACTTTAACAGTTCTAACAGTGACAAACGGTTCTAAATGCAACAAGCGTTATTCCAAACTTTACAAGCTGATAGTAATATTACTCTCTGTTCTAAATATTTGTAGTATTACTAAATATCACATACAAGACGTAATAATATGTTCCAAATGTCGAAAACCTTAAGTTTCTAAACGTTACGAACTGTTCTGAACGTTACTGTGCTAAATGTTACAAACTGTTATGCCGAAAAACACCAACGATTAACAGCTTTCTTGTACCAACGGATAGTAACAAATCCTCATTAGCTACAATAATCATTAAAAATCTATTTTTTTTAGTTTCGACATTTCTTAATTCAAAATCGTTATTCATTAACACCTCTATAATATCCAACCAGAGTCTGGAAGATCTAATTAGGCGTATTGTTTAGAAATACTCGTCAAAAGTAAAAGTAAGCTACCTACAAGCCAAAACCATGCCAATCTGCCTTTACAATCTAGAGTCATAATATTATGACAAAATAAAAAGGGACTTCCAGATAGATCCCCTCAAGTCTATCATTCCACGTCTATCAGACCCTCAAAATACACACAAAGAATTTCCACTGTTGTACCATGAAAAGCCCAGCACAAAATCTAATCGTTTCGATTTCGTTTCCAAGGTCAGACCTACCCACATACCAAATATCAAGACAATCAATCTAGGCACTTTTGAATTATAGAATTTAAAGACGATATGAAGGAAGGATACAGATACACGAGCTGACTCTACCGTATCTTATGGCCAAGGTATCTAGTTCTCGCTAGCGGCATACCTCACGATAGGAATCGCAATGATTAGACCTGACACATACAAGATGAAACAGATACGGTCAAACACCCGAGCGAGCTTCTTGCAATCCGGCTTCCCTACTCCCGACGGCTTAGTGGACATGGCCTCCACGGCGGTACTAAGGTCATTCACGGACTCCTTAAGAGACATCAGGACTTGTTTTGTCCTCAGTTGGCTTGGCTCAACTTCGGCTGGTTTACTAATGGCAATAGGGCAACAGTGAACATAGTCTTTTGAAAACGCAAGTACAAAATGTTACAGCTATAATACATTAATAAACTAAAGGTTATTGCTAATTCTTACCCGAATTTACAACAAAAACATGAACTAAGAACAATACTAGTATGAGTAAATAGAGCACATGATGTGTTATAATAATCTTTAGCTCATGAAACATTTAAAAAAACATAATACAACGTTGGGGTAACAAATACAAAACTTGTAGTGGACATTAAATGAGAATTGCTGGTGCACCAATAGAATCTATAACGTTAATGTGATAAATCAAATCATACAGAAAGTGAAATGAAATTAAACTGAGTGCAATATCGAAGTTACGGCGATTTGTAGAACATGCGAAGGTTACCAGTATGGAGTAAAGTGCATGTGGTATCGTTTGAGTTGAGGTGGTCAACGGGGAGTATGTTTTCGAGATGTAAACAGGATATGGATAAGAACAGTTAAGTCCTTTTAGAATTGTAAAGTTTACAGTGCAAGGAACAGTGTTCTGATGTCTCATTTGGGTGCCCATATTTGCACTCGTGATACAGTAATGCTGGAACTGGTGGTAGTTCAGCTGACTAAAATCGAATCTGAGTCATGATTAGATATATTGCATAGTGTCCGTGGCCGTATGAGTAGTGTGGTTGTCCGGGCACGTTGTCAAATCAAGAGTTTCATTCATTTTCACATGTATAGATGGGGAAGCATAATCTGGCGGTCTGGGGTAATTTATTCCAAGAGAGAATGACAAAATAATCTTTTGTACTTTTCAGTTTTCTTTATGTCTATTAACGCGGGGAAAACAGCAGGTTTTAGTGAGCACGTATAGTGCCAAGATGGCGAGCAAACCTACGTGTCATTTTCGGTTATGTCAGTCACCATCTCAGATTTGTCCTCTTCTACTTTCCGAGGTGTGGGGCCATCTTCTGTCTGGGTGAGGTCCCCCAGGAGCACGAGCCGAGCGACATACACGAGAAACACCTTCTTCAGAAGAGGGTGGAGCTCTCTTTTCTAATAGCAACATATATGTATAGTTTATACTCCAAACAGGTGATACGGTAATATGAAAATCAAGTACGTCGTAATTACTTCACTAGAGAAGTAGCATTTGCAAAGCAAATGTATAATGCCTACCTAAAGTTCGTACATAGTCTGCTATGTTAATTCTTACTCAAACACATTTACATATATGTACTACTAGTATATGGTGACGGGAGCAGCGCAGACCATGAAATTGCAACATTATGTAACCCAACAACAGTTACCATGGTGAGAGACGTCAATAAATCAGGTCATTGTCCAGGTCAGAGGTCAGTGTTTGGAACAGAAGAAGAAGAAACTGAGTAAAACAATACGTTTTCCTTCGGTAAATAGAATTAACGGAACCTGCTCTGCCACCACATCGACTATTATTTCCTGTACGTTAACAATTGAAGCTAAATGATTCATCAGCAATAGACCTTCGACACTTTTTTTTTGGCTTATCTTTTATTTCCTATATATATTATATCTAAAATCTGTCTTTACCGCACCTACATAATCCATTCAGGCCTTAATGCGATTATGGCTATTCCATTTAGGCGTTAATGACTTTAAGTGAAATTGATCCCACATGCCCACAACAACATCCTCCACTCCGTACTTTCGACAATATTTTACACTGGACTGACAAAAATCACCGTTGAAGTTGGAACATCGCTATCGACCGTGGAAGTAGCCATTGCTAGGAAGCCTCAATGGAAACCCTGACCCAACTGCAGTCTCGCTTTCGTGTGAGGTCACGCGCGTTCACGCCAAGGCAAGGATGTGCTTCCGCGAGAATAGAATCAATATGGCGACTGTATCTGGAATGAGGCCTATTATCAAAAGACTCACCATTGAGCTGACCCTGATGTTTATTACGGTGGCGATGAGGAACACACCCATCAGGCACATGTACACGATGATCAGCACAGCTAACATGGAAAAATGATTTTATGAATTATAGGATTTTCTATTGTTCCATGATCAGTGATCCGACTGAATGGCACGCCGCCACTGAATTCTACTTCCATTGAAACTGTGCAAAATTGTTAGATTTTATCTGACATGTAAGAGTATTGGCAGTTTTAATCGTATCATACATTGAAACGAACCTAATCAATCCTTGAAGCATGAATAAGATAATTAATGATAGTAAAATAGAAAAGGGCAATAAATTCTTACCTGCAACAGGCATAGAACCCTTGGCCGGCAGAACATCTGTGATAAAGACCAGAGAGACCACCATGGACAGCAGAATCGTCATCCCGAAGGAAAGACGATCTCCCTATCAAAAACAATTCACTGGAATTAACTACTCAACAGCTGTCAATGCTTTCTAGAAATCCCATATACTCCTACCCCTTAATCGAATGTTTTTGAAACATTCGGCGGGCTCAGCCGACCAGTAGCAAACCTTGCTGGCCAACTGCCAACCACGGCCGACAACCGCTTCTTTTATCAATAGACAACCAACATTGGAAGGTTGGGAGTGGTCTGGATGTCTGGCTATATGTTATAGAGTTTTTACCACCTAATAGAACTAACCTTCTCAGTCGGCAGTAGAAATGTGATACACATGAGCAGAGACAGAATGATGGGCGGTGACAGGGTGGTACAGAAGTGGAACGTCGGCAGGCGGTCAAACTGGACGTTGATGCAACCTTTGCCGAATTCGCCTTCGTGTACATTAATCTGATAGAAGGAGGAATGGCAATAATCATAAATGAAACTGTAAACTGTATGAATTGACACAAGCAACCGTCTACGGATGCTTACGATATAGCTAATCAATGTAGCTGGTCTTTGATAGTCACCATCATTAGCGATGGCGGAAGATGTTGACTTTCAACAACCCTTGATCCATTGACGTGACAGGTGAATAGATTCACATATCCTAAATCAGATAGCTATAGCAGTCGAAAGTCCAGCTTTTTTAACCCTGAGAATAATATAATTGTCTCACGGGAATGGAAATAGCTGGACACCGTTTGTGACACCGTGGTGCATGGAAAGCGAGCTTATCCTTTTTGAGCTAGCACACGGGACGTAGATAAAACCCAGCAGGCATAGGGAAGACGTTCACACTTTCAGGAGAGGTACACGGTCTCTGATGCAAGACAGGGGCTAGTCTTGCATAGGAGACTGTTATGATCTCCGATGCAAGACAGGGAGTAGTGGCGTAGGAAGAACCAATTTGAAACTCCTTGAGGTGCCATCAAATGATGACAAGGATCACAATCAATAACCAACACATACCGTCCATCGTGCCTTCCACTGATCCACCACATCCTCATCCTCATCCCCACAAATCATGAAATTTTCGATGGGGGACTTTTGCTCATCAACAGACGTGTTGTCACGGGTTTCCGCGCAGGAGAACCTCTCCACACGTGTATTTGCTCCCAGACACACAGGACACTCCATGGAATCAAAAGGAAACAGCGCTGGTTCTGCAGAAAATTAATTTGGCACTTACAAATAAGTGGTTGAGAATAAATAACCAGATATCTAATCGAATAGCAACCACTTATACCACACGAGCCAACGTTTCGATGACCGTCTGTCATCTTCATCAGGGCAATTCTGACTGGTTTCATGTGCACTGACACTACATGGTACTTGGTGCATAGTGCACTAATAAAGGTGTTACATGGTTCACAGTGCATTTTTTTGATGTTAACAATGCATTTCCGAACGTAGTGCAATTGTGAAATACATAGGCATTGTTACATCATAGGGACATATGCGGTTCCAAATGTAAAGTGTTTCTATACATAATCATATGATAAAATTTGTCAACTAACAATGCTGAGGTATCGCAGTCCTAAAGAGAAATTATTGTTAAAATATTGTCACATACGCATTGTTAGAAATCATAATAGTTACAAACAATAAGAAAACAAATGTCAGTTATTAAGAATGTGATCCCAAACATGACTAAGTTTATACCACCCTTATCGCGGTTCATGACTGGATTTTCTAATATAATCCATACGGACTCCTTAATCCAACGGATACATGTGTTCTCGGTCTATTACTTTGGCCCCTTACCAATCTATTACACAGTTATTTCTTGTAATGTGGTCTGTGACTGCTGATTTGTTTTCTTGTTTCTCAGTTTCTTTCTTTCTTTCTTGCTCTGGTGTACCTTCCCGTCTTCATGCTGGCTGCCTCTTTCCTATGTTCTTCTAGTCTGCATCCAAATGTTCTTCCTGTCTCCCCTATGTATACCTTCTTGCAAGTCATGCATGGTATCTTGTAAATACAATCTGTTTTCACTGAGTCTTCAGTAAAAACAGGCACACCACAGGCAGCATCAAATTTACCCACGAAGTAGAAGAGAACGGCACCATGCCCTTTTTTTAATTACAACATGTAATCACCAGACGTGGTGACGACACACTCAAGTTTCTTCAACTTATATTAATGCCGCCACCAACACAGGGGACAAATACATGACAGGACAATACTCATTTACACCTGAGCTAAGTGAGGAAAGCCGTGTAAAGTGCCTTTCTCAAGGGCAAAAGATCGGTGGCATGTCAGGACTCGAACCCGAGTCGCGCACTCTGCCGCTACGCCACACGACCCCACGCCATGCCTTTTCTTGATACTAGTACTTTGCTGGTGAAAAAGGAAGAGGGCACAACGAAACTGCTGATTTACAGAAAGACAACACATACTGACCAATGATTAAATTCCAACACACACGATCCCCTTTACCAGAAGCTAGGAGTTATCCGGATACTGATGGAGAGATGCAATGCAGTAGTAACGGACGAATCAGATAGACAGCAGGAGATACAACATATAAAACAGGCCCTCGCCCGATGTAACCATCCAAACTGGACATTCAGAAAAGCTGACCCAAACAAAAGAAAGACAAAAAGAAACAGGAGGAGAAGTCCAAAGGTAAGGTGACTCTACCCTATATAAAAGGAGTCACAGAACCACTGGAAAGAATATTCAAGAAACACAACATTAGTACAGCAGTCAGACCCAAAACTACCTTAAGAAACTTACTTACATCCCAAAGACAAACTTGAAGACTCAGTGAAAACAGATTATATCTACAAGATACCATGCATGACTTGCAAGAATGCAAGAAGGTATACATAGGGGAGACAGGAATAACATTTGGATGCAGACTAGAAGAACATAGGAAAGAGGCAGACAGCATCAAGACGGGAAGGTACACCAGTACACAGAGCAAGAAAGAAAGAAGCTGAGAAAGAAGAAAACAAATCAGCAGTCACAGACCACATTACAAGAAGTAACTGTGTAATAGATTGGGACGGGGCCAAGGTAATAGACCGAGAGGACAACAGATGTATCCGTTGGATTAAGGAGTCCGTATGGATTAGAAAATCCAATCAAGTCATGAACCGCGATGAGGGGGGTATAAACTTAGCTATGTTTAAGATCACTAATAACTTGACATTTGTTTTCTTATTGTCTGTAACTATTATGATTTCTAAAAAATACGTATGCGACAATACTTTAACAAGAATTTCTACTTGGGACTGCGATACCTCAGCATTGTTAGTTGAAAAATTTTATCATATGATTATACATAGAAACACTTTACATTTGGAACCGCATATGTCCCTATGATGTAACAATGTCTATGTATGTCACAATTGCACTGCGTTCGGAAATGCATTGTTAACATTAAAAACTAGCTTAAGTGCACTGTGAACTAAGAAACAGAGCACAGTGAACCATGTAACACCTTTATTAGTGCACTGTGCACCAAGTAACATCTAGCGTCAGTGCGCAGTAAACCAGTCAGAACTGCCCTGATGAAGATGACAGACGGTCATCGAAACGTCGGCTCGTGAAAAATAAATGGTTGTGATTAAAAAAACTTTGGTATCCATTCGTTTACGTGATGAAATTATTTACGCAGATATTTAATCATTTATCAAACTCATTACATTATATAAAAATGATATTCATTGTTTTGCCAATTCTCCTGGCTGCAATATTAACTGTTTCTAATTCGCACTGCAGCTAGATGTAGCTGCTGCTGTGTGAAGAAAACAGCCTCAAACGTGCTGAAGTCTTAATTCATTCGTTATTAATGACTTACCGAGATCACACGTTGTTGTTAAGAGATCTATGATGTCCCACTTCACCAACCCATCGCTGTTGATTGTGACACGTGCATCGGGGAAGTCGCTAAATTTAGGGTCGCCACTGTAGTAATATAATTGCATTGTATTTTTAATAAGGCCCATGGCCCTGACCTGCCAATTTGAAGACCTGCCAATTGTTGCCCTAAGGGGAGAGTTTCATCGATTATGAAAGCGATAATTGGCGATTTATCAATTTAGAACAGCTTCTTTTTCTAGTAACATGCATCATAAATCAGATCAAAAGAAGCTCCCCGTCATTAGCACAAATTTTAGTATTTTGACAGAATCCACGCCCTGTGTATCTGCTCGAAGATTACCCACCAGGTCGCCAGGTCGTTTATTTTGCCCCAAAAGTTTAATCCGTTTAACGCTTGGCAGGGGTCGAAGGAGAAACACAAGGAAAAAGAATGTTTCCATCAATATGAATATGGTATATATAGTATACTATGTATGGACTGAATACAAAAAATATGCAGATCATGTGTCTCCAGATAGAAAAAAAATAAATGTGGTTACTTTCGCCGGAGATAAATGTCGGGGGTCCAAACTTTCTTCGAGCTCACAACAATCTCTTTCCCCTGTCGCCGTAGTCTGTGGGGTTCCAAGACAGACGGCCGTCCTTCCATTGCTGGAAGAAAAGGCCATTAACAATAATTGTATAAGATACCCTGTGCTACATTAAACGTTTATGACTACCTAATAGGGTTGTCTACGAAAACAGCAAAACTACTGTGTGTCACACATACATTTTCGTTATTCTTATGGCATTTACTTTATAAAAAAATAGCATTAAAATACTCACCAGCCTGAAAGCGATCGATGCGAACATGTTCTCGTTCTTCTCGTCCTGAAACCACAAAAACAAGAGCTTAGAGACCGGCATTCTTTCATAGAATATTCAGTGCTTTTGGACAATCTTGTGTCATTAAGAGTCACATGCCAAAATACCTCTTCCTTGCAAGGCCACGTATTTTACCCACTTGTGTAGACTACCGTCTAGATATATAAGGAGCCTGCTTCTCTTGCCATATGATATAACATACCAAGTAAACAGGTACATGAACTTAAACAAAAACCCAGGCGACAAGATACGTATACTATTAGACACTACTTCTAACTTCTGGATTCACCAGCCTTGGTCCAAATTCAAATAATGAAAGATAAATTCTTACAACAGATGTTACCGGCTTTACAACTAATCAAGAACCTTATATGGCAGACAGCTGACCCCACTTCCAGGTTAATGACTAGTCCTGTGCAACTACATGTAAGACCAAAGACAAATGAAACATACAGGCAAACAATTTATCAAGACGTATAATCAGACAGCTGCATCATTACTGGTCAATGACCTAACCAGAATACTGTAATTCTAGAGCGGCAAAGATATTTTACAAAGTCCTACTTCAGTACCAAAGTTGGATCTTGAGATATACCCCAAAACACTATCCAGACCAAAAACAGTACCTCCCATTTCAAGGAGGTAAAAAGTTTGAAACACGTTTGAAAGTAATGCGAACTACGTATACGTTTTGCTGATACTGTAACAATCCTACTTACGGCGTCGATTATCTCCACCACAGCAGCTTCAAAAATGACTTCGACATGTTCCCTGCTAGGGGCCAATTGCGGAGAGTAGCGTTCCGAATCAAGCAGCGTATTACTTAGTTTCAACTCGTAGTCAACTAGAGAACAACATGAGAGATTTCGTTATGGCTCATAACTTATATGTTGTCCAATAGAAAAATCAATTAAAAATAATTAATGTTTGTAGTTAAAATAATTAATGTAGTTTTAAAGATCCTTTTTCCAACACAAAGGATTGTTCTCTCATAGAGCTTTCGACCATTTAGTCTGATCTTCTTCAATAGACGTACCCAGTGAGACTTCTCACGTGGCCACTCGGAATTCTGACTTCAACACTATATTAAAGTTTTCTGGTAAACGATGTAGGCCCCCGTCGCGGTTGAGTGAAAGATGATGGGCACTGATATATGATGTAAACAGTCTCTTTAACCCCTCTCGAGAAATAGTCCTGTTTAGTGTCCCTATTCCTACAGTGCCATCACTCAACCGCGACGGGGGCCGACATCGTTGACAGACTGGTCGAAAGATCTAGGTTAGAACAATCCTTTCTATTGAAACAGAATTAAAAAGTTAGAATTGTAACAACACAAGATGAACTTTAATGATAACAAAATAATTGACATTCTAGCGTGATCTAGCGTGCATTCACTACGTTTTGCTAAATAAATATGTATATGCTATTTTGCTGTTAAATTCTTTGTGGTTAAAAAATAATTAGAAAGGATGGGGCTAGATTAAAGATAAACTGACCAGAACACTCTAACCAGTTCTTGCTCCATCTGCCGTTTTCAGTGCATGTTATCCACATGTCCTCCTCCTTCTCCATGAAGTAGCCTGCATCGCAGCTGATGAAAACCTTTTCTCCCACCCTGTAGAAATTCCGACTTGGACTTAGTCTTCCCGATCTCACATTCACAGCAGATAGGCTGCAACCGTTTTCTGGGAAGATGTGAAAAATAAGCTAGTTCAAGTGCGTGTGTGATGCAGTATGGGTAATGTGTCAGAGGTAAAGGGATGCACTATGGGTAATATGGCGTCGGGTGGCGTAGTGGTAGAGCGTTCCACTATAAAACGGCGAGACCCGGGTTCGATCCCGAGTTGTACCCGGGACATGGCTGAACATGCGCCCGACGTGTGCCATTTGGAAAAGCACGTTACACGACTTTCCTCACTCCACCCAGGTGTGAATGAGTACAGAATATGGGTTGGGAAAAGTCCTATTGAGGTCACATTGTGGCGCCGTATAGCAGCAGCACAGACCCTTGCGACAGTTCCACAAAAAGTGTGTAGAGCAAATATGTCACATCATGTGTATTATGTGGTTGTTTGGTACTGTGCTGTTGCTGTATATGGTAGCTGGAAAGTGTGGTTGCGGAAGACGGTTGTTTGATTAGTTGGTTGGTTCAATTAGGTTGGTTGACTGTATTTTTTTACGGGAGGGGGGTGGGTGGCTGGTTTGACTGTTCAATACCCAGAATAGTTATAGCTAGTAGAAAAAAAAACTTACTATCACAAGGCTTCACACCGCATGGCTCAGGAATGGCGTCCTCATTATAACAGTAGGGTTCTAAACCACCTGTAAAATACAGACAGATACAAACACTTGTCTATTATAACCAGGAATTTCAAAACACAATGTGTTTACAAAAATGAAAACTTGGCACTGTTAAATATCTAACTTAATATTTTAGTAAACAATTTTAAGAAAGAGAAAGAGAAATATACGGACTTGTAAAGATATTTCGACAGTAGTTATTCCGTGGTTCTGCCCACTCCAAGTACTTCATGATATAGGAAGGCCGAAACACGTCGTCCCAGTTCCGGCACGCCTCTCCACTCTCCACCGGTAGAGTCGCCATGCCTTTGTAGTTCCAGCCATTACCATAATAACAATCTGTGTGGCAGTTTATTTGTTTGCTTTATCAGTATTTGTATGCAATTTTTTAAAACTTTTTTCCTGGAGTCCGCCAGTTTCGTTAGCCTGGTGTCCAGCCTTGTTAGCTTTAGTCCGCTCCCCAAGATCCGCTACCCGCCGGGATCTTGGGGAGCGGACTAAAGCTAACAAGGCTAGACACCAGGCTACAGTTTCGTTTGGTTTATTTACTCAAACAGCGATACAACATATCGCCCTAAAGGGCGGTTTAATTTTCGATGTGCCCTGGACGGCAAGCCCCAAACACATAAAATAATAAAAATAAACACTAAAACATAAAAAGGCCAACATTTGCTTTGGAGCAAATGTAGTGGATGGCTTCACCACATTTTACGACATGGCAGGGAAACAAGGAGAAACACAAGGGAAAACAATTCTTTACATTGATATAACTATAGTATGAAGTGACAACAGTTGGATAGCTATCCCCTACATTATTGGTTAGGATTTCTAATTGCATAATGCAAGCAGTTGATTTTCAAGATAAAAAGAGGCATTTATACCCGCATTCCAATGCTGAAGCAGGAAAGCTTAACATACCCACCAAAACACTTGAAAATGCAGTTCATTCTGTCAATATGGCATGGCTTTGTACAGGTGTTAATTGAGTTAACCCAATCAGATCCGGATCCCAACAGCCAATCAGCAAGGTGAATAGAGGAAAGCTGCATGCCTATTGGTTGCTTGCTCTGCAAGTCATGCCCAAATACGGTAACACGCAGCTATAGTACATATTCTACAACATAGCCAAAAAGCTCAAATAAAACCATTTTAAAAGCCTGTATCACAAAAATGAAAAAAAAAAACACCTAAGCCCACTTTACCTTCTTAAACATATACTATTAGGAAAATGAAGGAGTTGAATCAATTTAAAGAAATGGCAGGAGAAGAAGGAGAAACATGAGGAAAAACAATAGGACTTTACTCATTTTCAATCAAGGAGCGACTTAAATAATTAAAGGTAACCTTACCCTCAAAAGAACACCTTTCCGGACTGATTAATCTGTACACCTGGGGTCCGCGCGGACCCCAGAACAGTTTTTGCTAACTTTAGAAATTATCAACATGCTACCAGCTTAATTGTTTGGCAAAGTGATGTGTGAACCTCTATGTCCACATTACGTACAAAAATCATGCATTTTCAACTTTTCTTATTTTTTGGTGAAGAAAAGAAGAAATACCGGATTTTTAAGCCCTATTTACATGTAGACCGAAGGGGCTTTTCAGGCCCATCTTTAATCTCAGATAGCGCCTGAACGGCTTGCTCTAGGAGCATCAAATTTGGTGACCTTTTCTAAAATGTATCTGGGAAAAAGTTCATATTAGTTTAATACTAGTAAGTTAATGTTTTCTTTGTGTGTTGCCATGGCAACGGGTTTCTGACTGACAGTTTTTTTAAACATCAGTAATTTTGGGTTAAACATACAAAAATATTGGTTTTATGTCAAATTACACTTCCTTTCTATCAATAATAACATCTTACATAATTAAAAAGTTAAATCATTTAATATTCATAGAATATGCTAATTTGATGACGCCATGGGTCAAATCCAATATGGCGGACCATATTTTTTAGCTCTGACGTCATATGACGTCATAGTTACACCAAAGTTGTTACAATTTAATTCTATAACTACACCATTCTATGAAAATTTGGTAGCCGTATTATAAGTGCAAAAATCATACAAAAACGGTAATAAGGTTATGTATAAGAACGCCAATGTATCCATTACGATGGAAAGCCGGCTTGGGTCCCAAAAGAAAATCAGATATAAATTTTTTTAGAAATCGGGAAAACGAAGTTTTCTGTACTGTGTTGAGGGACAACTTCGTGGGTGACAATTACCTAAAATTTCAGAAAAAATCTTTAGAAACAAATAAAGATATTACAGAATATATAGTGCTGGGGTCCGCGCGGACCCGAGGTGTTCTGTTTAGGGTTAATGGTGATCAGGGATTTAGCGTTACAAAAGAATAAATACATCGTCCTAACAAGGCAATAAGGTAAATGATATTAAGACATATCAATCATACAAAAGAAAATAAATCATAAGGAAAGGAAGAAATTTGCACATCAATGTACAATTGGCTGGTAGTCATATTTGTATGTTTGTTTGAAACTGACCTTCGGGAGGTTCCAAGTTGACACATCCAGTTTCAGGAACATTCCGACAGTTGTTGAAGTCATTTAGGAAAGATCCGCTGATGGCCCCAGGTGAACAAGAGTCGTGTACTTCCCAGCACCATGACCGACAGGGTAGATCACTGTTACTATAATAGTGCACAGGAAATACAGTTAAGTTCTATGTTGTTCAAATTAAACTCAGGTACTTAAATGTTGCTTTCTTCTTAGTTGTCTGAAAAGGTACTCAAGATAACTGATGACATGACAAAATACCAATGGCTAAATGAAAATATGTCAGGTTCTTCAATGAAATGTGCTATGATATTAAAGACACAAGCAGAACATGTTTGGCAATGTAAAAAGCATGGTGAGACCTGTTTTGACTCAGGGGCCTTCAATTTTGCAAATATTACGCTATTTATGTAATTTAGTCATATAACAAGAGCAACAAGAATTCGGAGATTTCATACCTCCATGAAATATGATATGAGCTTTTATAAATGTCACTTATGGATTTTTCATATTGATTATCGAAGTAAGGTAACATTGCCATTAATCTATGGTCAAACCATCCTTTGGCAATGTTTCATTTCAACTTGTCTTCAAGAATCATGCAAATGACCTCAACATTAACATAATATATGCATAGTGATGTACACGTTTCACAAGGTATAAAATTCCTATTATTCACCATCAAGAAATGTTCACATTAATTATGCAAATCAGGTAATTATTTGCATAATTGACATCTAATGATGTACCATAGAGGTAATAGGTGAACATCTAGATTACCTGCGAATTCTTGAAAACCGGGGCATCAGCAGTGAACACAAAAAAGGTTGGATCTGCGGATGACACGAAATGTTGGCATTCTTCATCTCCTGCCATTGCGTCGAATTTAGAATCTCCTCAACACTTGAGTGTTTGTAATAGTTGGGGATCGTTATCTCTTCGAAGTCCAGGTCTTTGCAATAAGTATAAAACTCGGGGGGCGGGGAAATGGCCTTCGGAGCAACCTGGCTTGGCTTCCCTTCCCCTGAAGAAAGAGTTACAAATAGAAACGGTCATGTCATCACTGGCATCGAAAATCCCGGCGACTGAAATAGTCTGAATCGTTACAGCTTAATTATAAGCACAGTCCAAGTACGTTCAGTTGGATGTGTTAAAATTTTATTATCACTCGGAATATATATGTACGTTTAGGCATAAACATGACAACTATGTTTTCACGTAACCCCTACCTTTTATTGCCCAGTATCTTGCAAAGAATCCAGACCTTTCCTCGTTTGCATCGGATATGAAAACTAACGTCAGTGGGGCGCTTTCACGGAAGTATTTGTAACGCAGTTCTTTTCCACAGAACCGTCTCACTGAAATTAAAGAAGACAGTATCGTTGCATGAACAAACGCTAATTTTGGACAATATTTGTACATTTCAAGTGCCCATGGCTTTTGTTTTCTTTGTATCGTTGTGGGTTTGTCTGTCTGCAGCAATTTTCACATTCAAGGCATGAGGGGGCACTGATAGGAAATTAGGTAAAAATCAAAACCGTTTACGTTATATTATTTTGCTGCAATTTTATGATATGGGCATTTCATTTGCCTTATGAGGGTTTATGAGAAAATACATAGATAAAATTAGCGTGAAGTTTACAGTTATTATAATTAGAAAAAAATAATGTATTCAATTTCTTGATGTCCTTGCATTTTCTGGAATATGTGAATAAACAGGGCATTGATTCCGGCCAAGGAATAATGTTTACATTTGACATATGAACGGAACGGAACTAAACTGAAATAGAATACCTATCAAAACGTTGTCAGCGTTGTACACAGCAACAGAGTCCCAGGAACAATTCCCGCTCAATTTGCGCCTTTCCA